ATACTGTGTTCTTGATATGGCTCATTCTAATATCTCTACTACTGTACATCGCATTTTAGTTACACACTGTTTCATTGTTAGGTTCTGAACAATCAGAGTAAAAACTCAAACGGACGACTAGAAAAAGCTCAAACCAAATGTATTCACCCACTGGGTCAAACAGTTGCAAAAGACAAGGTATGTTTACACAAGCACATAAATGTATACCCTCCTACTAGGTGGAGTCAACTCCTTGCACATCTAGATAGCCAATAAATATATGTTGCTAGTCAGGAACTTAATTGGTTCCTCTCACTGGTGTAGTAATGGCCCTGCCTGATGCTAGAACCTTCTTGGGCGTGGAAGGATATCTGTGTGGGATAGGACCGTTTCTACTCACTTCATCTGTTTACTTGACCTCGGGCTGAATTCCACACTCCTCGCTGTCTTACCTTTTATCAGTGCCTGAAACCAGATTGATTTCTTTTGCCTCTCTCCTTAGGAGCATTGATATTCAACAATAACATGTTTGGCAGAATGTAAACTTTCTGCACTCCCCTTGTCTCACTCATTAACTTTCCATACACCACGTTCTTATCCATCCTTCATTGACCCCAGCCTATACCTTCCTTATACATGTAAAGTAGTCAATAAGATATGGTAACATGATTAAGTATATTTTAAGCTAGAATCCAAAAATAACTGTAATATATAATTCTTATTATATCTTGTGTAAATTCATCCAGTGTACAGTTGAAGTTGGAAGTTTACATACATACACCTTATCCAAATACATTTAAACAATTTTTTTCACAATTCTTGACTTTTAATCCTAGTAAAAATCCCCTGTCTTAGGTCAGTTAGGATCACCACTTTATTTTAAGAATGTGAAATGTCAGAATAATTGTAGAAAGAATGATTGATTTCAGCTTTTATGTCTTTAATCACATTCCCAGTGGGTCAGAAGTTTACATACACTCAATTAGTGTTTGGTAGCATTTCCTTTAAATTGTTTAACTTGGGTCAAATGTTTCAGGTAGCCTTCCACAAGCTTCCCACAATAAGTTGGGTGAATTTTGGCCCATTCCTCCTGACAGAGCTGGTGTAACTGAATCAGGTTTGTAGGCCTCCTTGCTCGCACACGCTTTTTCAGTTCTGCCCACAGATTTTCTATAGGATTGAGGTCAGGGCTTTGTGATGGCCACTCCAATACCTTGACTTTGTTGTCCTTAAGCCATTTTGCCACAACTTTGGAAGTATGCTTGGGGTCATTGTCCATTTGGAAGACCCATTTGTGACCAAGCTTTAACTTCCTGACTGATGTCTTGAGATGTTGCTTCAATATATCCACATAATTTTCCTTCCTCATGATGCCATCTATTATGTGAAGTGCACCAGTCCCTCCTGCAGCTAAGCACCCTCACAGCATGATGCTGCCACCCCTGTTCTTCACGGTTGGGATGGTGTTTTCCGGCTTGCAAGCACCCCCTTTTTCCTCCAAACATAACAATGGTCATTATGGCCAAACAGTTCTATTTTTGTTTCATCAGACCAGAGGACATTTCTCCAAATAGTACGATCTTTGTCCCCATGTGCAGTTGCAAACCGTAGTCTGGCTATTTTATGGCGGTTTTGGAGCAGTGGCTTCTTCCTTGCTGAGCGGCCTTTCAGGTTATGTCGATATAGGACTCGTTTTACTGTGAATATAGATACTTTTGTACCTGTTTCCTCCAGCATCTTCACAAGGTCCTTTGCTGTTGTTCTGGGATTGATTGCACTTCTCGCACCAAAGTACGTTCATCTCTAGGAGACAGAACGCGTCTCCTTCCTGAGCGGTATGATGGCTGCGTGGTCCCATGGTGTTGATACTTGCGTACTATTGTTTGCACAGATGAACGTGGTACCTTCAGGTGTTTGGAAATTGCTCTCAAGGATGAACCAGACTTGTGGAGGTCTACCATTTTTTTTCTGAAGTCTTGGCTGATTTATTTTGATTTTCCCATGATGTCAAGCAAAGAGGCACTGAGTTTGAAGGTAGGCCTTGAAATACATCCACAGGTACAGCTCCAATTGACTCAAATGACATCAATTAGCCTATCAGAAGCTTCTAAAGCCATGACATCATTTTCTGGAATTTTCCAAGCTGTTTAAAGGCACAGTGAACTTCGTGTATGTAAACTTCTGACCCACTGGAATTGTGATACAGTGAATTATAAGTGAAATAATCTGTCTGTAAACAATTGTTGGAAAAATTACTTGTGTCATGCACAAAGTAGATGCTCTAACCGACTTGCCAAAACTATAGTTTGTTAACAAGACATTTGTGGAGTGGTTGAAAAACGAGTTTTAATGACTCCAACCTAAGTGTATGTAAACTTCCGACTTCAACTGTATATACATAAAGATTGCATTTAGACTACTGTTACAGTGCTATTTGGGTTGTTAATTGGATTCATTACGACATTATTTTAATTAGAAAAATACAATAAATTACTTTGTGTACTTGTTTGACATTTTACTGCATTCTTAGGAATTACTCTTGAAATTGGCATGGTCTAATAGATTCAACAAACAAAACACGCATCTAAGTTTTGCTTTTTTGAATGAACCAGAAAATCAATAGTTGTATCTGGTTGCTTATTAAAGTTAGCTGGCTTAATTGATCCTGATTGTAGTATAACACTCTAGTCCAACCTGAGACGGGCCAATAACTTAAAACCTGGTGTGACTCTAGGGAAGTTGTCTACATAGCTAGTTGTCACGCCCTGGCTCTGGGACTCCGTTATGTTGAGCCAGGGTGTGTTGTTTCTATGTGTTTTGGGTTCTAGGCTGATTATCTAGCTCATGTGTTTCTGTGTTGGCCGGGGTGGTTCTCAATCAGAGGCAACGAGTATCAGCTGTTGCTTGTTGTCTCTGATTGGGAACCATATTTAGGCAGCCTGTTTCACACAGTGTGTTGTGGGATCTTGTTCCGTGTATGGTTTGTGTCTGTTACTAAGGACTTCACGTATCGTTTTGTTGTGGTACTCTAAATAAAAAAGTATGTTCGCATATCACGCTGCGCATTGGTCCACTGTGTTCGACGATCGTGACACTAGTAATGAATAGGCTCCATTGTTATGTTAACAGTTGAACCATTGTGATTAATTCACTTCAAGGTTGTGTCTCTGCATCACTTCAAGGCTGGAGACAATTGTTGTGTGGTCAGTTGTCATAATAATGATTAGCCTGAGACAAGTTACCTTGGTTAAATCCTGAGAAAGGGCCTTGGATATCAACAATGCCATATTATACACCAAACAGATGTGGAGGGTCCAACACCCTCCCTGATTCCTCTGGAGAGTCAACCTGACCTGAGGTGGAACTCTCCTCCTGCCCAGACTAGTATTTGTGGGGCACAGGCTCCTCTTGTATGGGTGTGTACTATGTTGATGGTGTTAGTTGACTGTGACTTGTGCGCGGCTCTCTAACTTTAAACCCATAATGTCTGAACTGGCAGTCACATGTCCTAAACATGTTTCAGAGTTGCAGTGTATGTTAGAAAAATCTATAACTTGGTTGATGGATAACCATTGCATAGTTTTCACAACTGTTTCTCTCTTTTTTTTCTCCAGAATTGACCTCTCACAATTCAACTATTGAGGATGGTGCCCCATATGCTTGAAATGCTGCCCAGCTCAATGTGCTGGGTCAGATAGAGCTGGCACAACATGGATAACACTTGGAGCGATGGTGACGGATGCAGCCGCCATAATATGGCTCACTGGGAAAGTGCTCCACCTGCTGGTGAAAGACAGTACCTCACCCACTGGGAAAGGGAATGCCAGTGGCTGAACCATGAGGAAGAAGCTTCCATGTGGGCTCACTACAACTCCCATAGACAAAACTCTCAAATGGACTTCCGTGGACATGGGGCACAAAATACCCAGTCACCTCCTCTGTATCATCAGGGCCGTCACAGAATGGCTCAGAGTCAGAACATAGGGGATTGGCCCAATCTCTATGGACCCTTGAGATGCCAGGCATCCCCTAATGTAACCTTACACCGCAGTGGAGAATGTACAGAAACATGGGCTAAGCATGAACCCCACTTCCCCAGCTATGAGTTTTTGCCCCCACTCATTGTCGAAAGAGGGCATGAGGATATTTCCCTTCACCATAACGCTAACTGCAATTATATGGTTGGTCGGACAGTGAATCATAACAATCTCCATTACTTGGTAGGCAAATGGCAGATGTTCAATTCCACCCATTCCAATGGACATGCTAGAGGTCATTTTAATGAACATTCAAGGGGACATTCTAATGAATGCTCAAGAGGATGTTCTAGGGGTGGTTATAGTAGTCATTCTAGGGGTGGCTCTAGTGGATGTTCGAGGGGTGGGTCTAGTGGACGTTCTAGGGCCCATTCCAGCAGGTCTCCCAGGCTGGACTTCCAGGCTAAGCATGTCAACCCTTCTCAAACTACGACCAACAGTTCTCCAGACATTCAGAAAGCCAACATCACTCCAACTGTTCCTGTGGTCAACAACGAACACAGTGAAACAACATCAGGACGAACAGCGGGTCCTGTGAGAGATTCTATATCACTTGTGCAGGCCTTCACTTCGACTACTCAGCAGTGTGTTTCTATGGATCTCCCTTCCACGGGAGGTAGAGAATCTGGTGTTGTTGACCTAAAAGCAGCCCAGGTAACAAATGCAGACAGCCATGGTATACTAGAACCTAGTGTTCCTTCCCAAGCCATAACACAACAAACCAATAATCTTTCTGTCAATGCTGCTCTGGTTTCTCACACCCAGACCTCTTCCACCCCTGAACAGCAACATGCTCCCTCTCCCTCTCCTTCTCCCAAACCTCTCACTGAGATACCTCAGAACAAACCATCTCATAAACATAAGATCTCACTCAATGAAATACAGGACTGGCTCCAGAGTGTTTTAAGATCTAAAAATGGACCCGTAAATGGGAACAACTCAACACAAGACCCCTCTCAGTCCCAACAATCCAGCACAGAGAAGATGGCTGTTTTACAAGCAGGCAATACGCACCGACTTCAAAACACCAAAGACGACCAGGCAAGGCCCCCTGAGAGGTTTAGGGCTGAGGACTCCACTGTACGGCTGGAGATTAAGTCCACCCCCAGGTATATGACCCTGATGGCAGTCACCACCGCTCCGCCTCCTGTGGCTATCGTCCCTCCAATGAGTCCACAGCAGTCCCCAGGGCCCATGGAGACAGAGAATGCAGGCAATGAGGTGCCATTTAAGATTTTACAGGCCTGGTCCATCAACGAACAACAGGCGGAAAGCCTGTGGGATAGAGCTAAAGATGATGCAAGTTCTCTATCTGTCCCAAATGAGATGGTTCAAGTTGAGAGTGTTATGGAGTGTGATAAGCCTGTAGATGCATCTGCAACAAGTTCACTGGCATCTACTGGAGAGGACAATGATGAGGTCCTTCATGTCAATCCACAGATTGACAAGATTTCACCTTCACCATTTGTCCACACCAACCCTCAGGCAACTGATATTGTACGCATAGGTGGTACACAGACAATTGTGGACGTTAGCGCTAATGGCGCAGATGAGAGAACTCTTGATTTGTCCACAATTGCTGGGGTTCAGTTCAAGTTAAGTACGCTTCAGCAACTGGTTACTTATCTGGAGAGTGCAGCAACAATCACAGAGGCAAAGGATGGTTTTCTAGAGGCCATATTGGAGCGGTATTGGGGCGGGGATACCTCTTACCTGGTAGAAACTTTAAAATATAAAATGGATGAGAAAAACATGCAGGATGTGTCTGCCTGGGCCGTAGAGGATGAGAAGGCAGTGGTTTTCTTTGCAGTCAGTGGTATAACACTGGGGGAAGTGATCGAGAACTTTCCCATTCCAGCACATGTTGACAGCTCTTCCCAAGTAGGTTACAGGTCATCATGTTTAAATGTCAATGAGAAGCCGTATGACATTGACAAAGAATCTGGAAGAGCTTGGTCTGTGTGTTTCATACCAGATAAAGCAGAGGAGAGTTCCAAAGTGGTTGGGGGAGTCAAAATGGATGACACCTTCGACAGTAAGATGGAGACTGTAGACTTGCCTGCACGACAACCTGTTGAAGCAGAAGCAACAGACTCAGACCTCGCAACAAACACAGACTCAGAGACAGACCCCCTTTCTCCAATGATTTTGACTGTCCTCACATCAGAGGATGCTGTGAGACTGCTTGCTGAAACAGAGGCAACAGACACAGACCTCACAACAGACTTGGACACAGACCTCCTTTCCCCAATGAATTTGACCATCCTGACATCTGAGGATGCCATGAGACTGTTTTGCCAGATCGAAAATGGCTCTGACCTCCAACTCGGGTCCCCTGAACCATGCTCTGAAAACAAAGATAAGACACAGACAAAGCAACTAGAGAATATAGTAAGTGGCAGCTTAGATAAGTCTTGCTACTGTCCTTGTATTATTGAAACTGACAATGGGTTTGAAAGTGGCCTATGCTCCAGTTGTCAGAGAGAGAAAGGATTGCAGCAAGGTACAAGATGCATAACAATCGCTCACTGCTTTTCCCTGTCAGATACAAGCGACAATTCAGATCAGGAGACAGAAGCAACCGACTCAGACCTCGCAACTAACACAGCCCTCATGATGGACGCAGACCCCCCAACAGACGCAGACTCCGAGACAGAACCCCTTTCTCCAATGATTTTGACCGTCCTTACATCAGAGGATGCTGTGAGACTGCTTGCTGAAACAGACTCTGGGGGGAAGGCGACTGTGGACAATCAATGCAGGGACAAGAAGCAGATGCAATCAACTGAAGAAGAGGGTGATGACAATCAATTCAGTGACATTAAAACAGAGGGAGAAATGCAGCAATGTACAAACGTCGTACCGATCACATACTTTTTTTTCTGGTCAGAAACTAGTGAGGATTCAGATCAGGAGACAGAGGAGAACCCTAATGAACAACATGCTCAGATTGAGGCTCATGCTTCTAATGTTAAAAGGACGGAGCCTGAAACTGATGCCAAAGAACCATGTGAGTCAGCCCAAGAACATACTACCCAAAGCAAAGTCAGTCCTAGTTCTGAGGATAGGGAAAGATGGCAAGAGAAGGACCAAGACTGTAGGATGAGTACATCACCACTTCCCAAGGTTGAAACCCCTTCTAAGTTAAGAGCTAACATCATAGCAGACAACTGGTGTTCACCTATAGAGGACTGTGGTTCACCTGTAGATAAGTATGACAAAGTTGCGGACTTTTTCACCCAATACAAAACCTGTAATTCAAAGAAAAATATATATATGTATATGGAAAAGGAGAATACCCTCCATCCAAAGTCATCTGATAGACAAAAGCTCAAGAAAAGCCATGGGAGAGCAGAGAGGAGACGGTCACCATCCCAACCCCCTAAGAGCTCTGGGGTGAAGGCAACTGTGAATAATCAACGCAGGAACAAGAAGCCACATGCGTCAAACAAGAGTAGACATTCGACTAAGAGTGATGAAAATCATTGCAAAGACAAGAAGAGGGGATCATCAACTGAGAAAGAGAGCGAGGACAATCAAAGTAGGGATAAGAAGAGGAGACCTTCAATTGAAAAAGTGGGTGAGGGCAGTCAATCTAGGGACAAAATGTCACAGAAGAGGAGAAATTCAACTGAAACTGAAGGCAGGAACTCTGGTGACTCCAAAGAGTTGCAGTACCAGTTGGTGGAAAGAGAGAGGGACAGCGGCAGTGGAAACGCACCGCCGTGCCCTGCGGTGAAAACCCCCCATGTGCAGGGGTCCTCAACTACCACTGTTCCTCTCAAACTCTGCATTAACGTTACTGAGGAAGTCCCCAAAATGCCAATGGAACAGCCAAAAACTAAATCCCCGAACAAAACTATCAGACACCGCTCCCCTGCAAAGTCAGTGTCTCCTGTTGTCAAAGAGAGGCCGAGGAACGGCGTCAAACACAAGCAAGAAATTCAATGCCTAAAAGTCAGATTGGAAAAGCTGTCCTCATCCAAACATCTTGTCAGGAAAGGTTCTCCACCAAGCCGGAAGAGAGAGGAAGGTTCCCCACCAAGGCAGAAGAGAGAGGAAGTTTCCCCACCAAGGCAGAAGAGGGTGGAGGATAGAGGATACCCTGGGGGTTTAGGGGTAAAGTTTTCTATGAATCCTGACTCGTCCATGAAACTAAAACGTAAGGCAGAGAGCGACTTGACATCCCAACAGAAGTTGACAAAGATTCCGAAGGTGTTGAATAGTAATGAGAAAGGAAGGTTTTCAAAAAGCGAGTGTGAGAACGACTCGCCACCCCCCAAGCCAAAGTTGCCAAGGATTCCCAAGCTTCCGAGGACTCCAGAGGTTTCAAAGGATGGGAATGAGGGAGAGAACAGAGAAGAGACATCTCCCAGTGCTTCACCTGAATCACAAACACTGAACAACCCTGCAAAGGTGGCACACAAGCCGAAACCTTTTATCAAGCCTGCCAGTCCCCATGGTAATAGTCCAGGTAGTCATGCATGCCCTAATCCGGCCAGGGTATCGCCGCCATATGACAATGGACATTTTGGGGCAAAAGTCTCTGCGAGGCAGCATGTGTTCTCTGATTGGGAGAGCAGCTTTGTCCCGACTCCAACCCCCCGGACTCGCAGACGATCAGGGTGTCCTCCAGAGGAAGTGGAAGGTCCACAGGCCAGTCCCAGGTCCAGCTCGGAGACCAGGATCATCCGACCCATTCTAAAATGTGTCGATGCTTCGCCAAAACCCAAGCGGAACATCAGCTTCGCTTTGAATCCAAGGACGGTGCACTACTTCAAGCCCTGTGAATATGAAAATGACGTCATGTTCAACAGGTCTTACACGGATCCTGAAGATGCACAGCATTCTAACGAGGAAGAGGAAGATGCTCCTGTGAATTGCCAGAACACGAAGGAACAGCACCCTGTTAGGGAAGAGAAGCGGCAAGATATAGGGGAGCTGAAGCCTGGACCAAGCGGTGCATGTGAAAAGAGCTTCAAAAGGAAACGTGAAATACATGAGCCTGCTGCCATTTTGATGAAGAAGAGCATTGTTCAGGCAAACCATTGGATGAAGTGTCTCCATCGTGAACCTCCGAAAGACTCCAGACACTCGGGTAAGGACACCAATCACAAGCCACTGTCAAACGAATATGGTATGTATTCCCTCAAAGTTTTTGTGTAATATGTATAGCTAGCATTGGCATGAAAAACGAACACACAGAATAACACACTACAGGTCAATATTTAGTTAAATTTTATTCGATTTCCAGTCATTGACAAGTTCTTCTGGTTACAGCAAAAAAAACTGGAGTTGGTTACAAGTGGTCAGAGAAGCAGAAGAAGTGGCCAAATGAAATTGAAGGTAAGTCGCAGGCTATGGTAGGCTACTTTTACATTTGCGTTAATGATTTCCCAGTATTTCAAACAAAGTTGTATATGTATTTTAGGAAAATGTCAGACGTAGACAGTTTGATGTTGGGTTCTGATTGGAATCATCTAGATCAGGGTTTCCCAAAGTCGGTCCTGGGCCCCCCGGGTGCACGTTTTGGTTTTTGCCCTTGCACTACACATCTGATTCAAATAACCAAAGCTTGATGATGAGTTGTTTGTTTGAATCAGCTGTGTAGTGCTCAAGCAAAAACCAAAATGTGCATCCAGGGAGAGCCCCCAGGACGGACTTTGGGAAACCCTGATCTAAATGAAAGGGTATTATGTTATTTATAGGAGCTGAGTAGTGAATGCAAATGTATCATGCTATTGTACACAGGCCTGTGAGCCTGGGTCAATATGACCTAAGTGAGAGGGGTGACACAGAATACTGGTGGGCAGACAGGTGTATTTCCCAACTCTCACAGGATGTGACTCAATGCATTACCATATGGATTTGATAAGGGTCATTCCATTTGATTTCATTCACTTTTTGACCACACCACTTTTGATTTGAACAAACCTTCCCATACCTATTTGCCCATGGTAGAAGATGTCAGAAAGTGACATTTTGGACCTTATCGATGATAACCAACTTGTTGTTAGGTAACTGAAACCTATATAAGTGCGACTTGTTTTGACTGGGTTGGAACATGTTCTAGCCATGCTCTGAGTATATTCTGAGGCAGTGTTCCTAGGATCCTGTGTACGGTGAATAAATAGACTTCTGAACTGAAAAGTCACCTTACTGATCATTCATCTCCACTTGGAAAGCCAGTAACTGGGGGACGGCTATTTCCTACAGTGCTAATGTAAATATTTCTCACCTGCTTGCTTATGTTTGCCTCTTAGGTTCCTCTCCGAATGCAAGCTCCCCTCACAGTAACCATCCAGGTTCCTCTCAGAATGCAAGCCCCCCTCACAGTAACCATCCAAGTTCCTCTCAGAATGCAAGCTCCCCTCACAGTAACCATCCAGGTTCCTCTCAGAATGCAAGCCTCCCTCACAGTAACCATCCAAGTTCCTCTCAGAATGCAAGCTCCCCTCACAGTAACCATCCAGGTTCCTCTCAGAATGCAAGTCACCATTCAGGTTCCTCTCAGAATGTAAGCCCTCCTCGGGGTCACTATTCATCCTCCAGCCAATTGAGAAGAGTTGAGCCAACAGCCAGGCACCATAGCTCGCCCATGAACGAATGAAACGAGCGGTGGTCAGGAGACAGACGTGATTCGTAAGCCAATCAGTCGGCCCTGACAGGATACACCAGACAACAGTAATTGATGGGAACTGGCAAAGACAATACTTTTACCTCATACCTGACATTGTGCATATGCTGTTCTTTTTAAAAACTTGAAACAACTACTTACAGTGCCTATAAAGCCATATTTAGGCTACATTATGCAGTTTACTTTTCTACATGTTTTTAAATGAATACATTTCTCTCTCTCTATAATAGGTTCGGTTAGCTGTGGTTGAAACAGTCAGAAGTGTGTTTTATATACTATGTATATGTGTTATTGTAACTCTTGACATCTAACGGTGATTGGTGTTTGGTTACCCGTATTCCTATAGTATTGTTTGCCTACATTGTTAGGGCATCATAGTGATTGAATCATCATAGTGATGGTATTGGATTTAGTTTGTTTCTAGTATTTGTATTGTCTATTACTATTGCAGTCAGAACTAAAGCTAAAGGGGAGAAACCAGACTGAACTTATTGTTTAACGAGATTCTGCTGTCCCATACACAAAAAATGTGTCAATTGTAACAGGTGTTTATTAACACTGGTGGTAAAGTGGGTAAATATATCATGGATATCCAACATCAAATTATGTTTGAAAGCCATTATGTCACTATGTTTATAGTTATCTGTGGCCATAGATGTTGTTTGTAGTTAAATTCAACTGATACTGCTGATGTTCTGAGTATTGAGGAATGTATGTACTTACTTGTACTACGTCTTAAAAATTGTTCGAAATGCCAAGTTTAGTTTTTAATATCTGTCAGTTTTTGTCAGTTTTGATGCTGTATTATGTTTTACCTCTTTTTACTGTATTGTTACGGCACTGAACTAACATAAATACAGAAAATACATTTTTGTTGTTGCCTATCCTCTCAGACTACACAGCATCCAATGAAGATAATTGTAGTATTATTTACCCCCTCCACCAGGCAGACCACATTTGAGACACACAGTTACACCACCAGAGGGAAGCAAAGTACTATTTTAATGTTCCTTTCATTTCAGTCACTCACTTGTGCAAGGCTTCTGGGTCCTCCTATGTGTTGAGACTTGAGACTCACATAGGTGAATGGATAAGAACAGATAACAGAGGGGAATCTTCAGTCATATTTTCTGTTTCTGGAGGCCTGTTGAGAATGTATAGTTAAGCAATAAGGGTTCAAATCTAGCCAGTATTCAAGCAATCCATGAGAGATACTTTTTATTTATTTTCTTCCCCAATTTCGTGGTATCCAATTGGTAGTTGCAGTCTTGTCCCATCGCTACGACTCCCGTACGGGAGAGGCAAGGGTCGAGAGTCGTGCGTCCTCCGAAACACAACCCATCCTAGCCGCACCAATATGCCAGAGGAAACACCGTACACCTGGCGACCGAGTCAGCGTGCACTGCCCCGGCCCGCCACAGGAGTCGCTAGTGCGCGATGGTATAAGGACATCCCTGCCGGCCAAACCCTCTCCTAGCCTGGACGGCGCTGGGCCAATTGTGCGTCACCCCATGGGTCTCCCGGTCGCGGCCGTCTGCGACATAGCCTGGAATCAAACCAGGCTCTCTAGTGTCACATCTAGCACTGCGATGCAGTGCCTTAAACCACTGCGCCACTCGGGAGGCCCATGAAAGAGAATTATGGAGTAAGCCAATGTAACAGGAGCCTTTCTCCTCCATCCTCCTCCCTGTTCTCCCCTCTTATTCCTCGGTCTCTGTGACAGGAAGACAGTTTCTCAACAATTGGTCATAATATTCGACTGTCCTCTGAACGGCTGTAAATGAGCTGTGTGTGTTTTGATCTCAGCAGCACAGATGTCAGAGGAGAGGCCCTTCCCAACACGGTGCTAAAACTCTTATGGTCATTAACCTCACCTCGCAAGTCATTAACCTGAGGAAGTCCATTGTGTCTGTTGCATGGGATTGGAATATTGGGGAAATAACATGCTAGATACAGTATGTTAGGCCTATCTCATGAGATAATGTCCATATAAACATTTTAATTAACTGAATAAATTCAGAGAAAATTAAACATAGCATGCAACATATTGATTAACATGTAGACTACATACAGTGCACATTATGCACCCAATTTACCTAATTTATGCTTCAGATTTTATTTGAATGTCCCGCCCTGCAACGCGACGAGCGTCCGCCCTCGCGAGGCATGGAAGCAAGCACACACCACACACACCGAGCTCGCGCTTCCCACTCGGTTCGATTCTGTATTGTCAGTGCGACTAAGAGCTGACAACCAGCAAGTATTCTCTTCGATATTTCAGTCAATTTAAATATAACTTTGAAGAACAGGAAACTCTTTTAATTGTGCGTCGGGAACACTGTCATTCTGCCATTTACAAAGACGATATAATAGTTTTAAAACCAGTTTTATTCTCGCTATGTAGATGTCTCTGTTGGAGTACTAGGAACGGGAAGACGCTGTTCTGTGAACCAAGATGAGTGGGACCAACGCGGCGTCTGGATTGGCGCCCTGCCGCTTCGCTCACTACTTTGTGATATGCGGAATAGACACGGAAACTGGTCTGGAACCGGACGAATTAGCCGGTAAGATTACTTACTTACTTTTTATTTAAATTAAAATTTTCCCTGTGAGGTATCTATACGAAAACAACGGATTTCATTTTAAACTAATACACATTAATCTTAGTGACACTATCACTGCATATCATTTATTTGGAACATATTTTACAGTCTCTTAAGGTGATAAATTATGTGCTGTTTAAAAACAACACCATAAGGACAATGGCTACAGTTGTAGCCTGACATCACCTTGTTTACATTCTTGTAGTTTCTGATAAACTGGGTTAAAGGTATTGGGGACATTTCTTCACCTGTCCAGGCTCTGTCGCAGCCGGCCGCAACCGGGAGACCCATGGGCGGCGCACAATTGGTCCAGCGTCGTCCAAGGTAGGGGAGGGTTTGGTCGGCAGGGATGTGGGTTCGTTTCCCACGGGGGGCCAGTATGAAAAAAAATAAAAAATGTATGCATTCACTAACTATAAGTCGCTCTGGATAAGAGCGTCTGCTAAATGACTAAAATGTAAATGTAAATGTTTGTCAGACCTGTCCTCGCTGATTGTGTGGACTAAAGAGAGGACTAAAGAGAGAGCAAGAAAGCAATGGCTATGATGTCATTATTTCAAAGATAAAACTCCAACACTTCTTATGAGGCTGGTATTTCAATGCAGCACAGTGAAGGATGCAAAAGTGGAGGCTTTTAAGATGTTTTTGTTTACAAAGGCTGCTACTAAGGATAAGCATCTTTATTTTAGTAATACAATAGTTAACACCCCATGAACCCTTCCTCAGTCAAGAAGAGCTGAAATTATATCTCTGCACATATTCTAGGTTCAATCAGCTTTGGACTCAGGTCCTCTTTCTGTTTGTGTTTGTTGAGGCTGTGTGTTTGTTCAGTGCCATAGCAAGCTCTAAGTACTCTCTGTTAACCATGAAGGTCCAGTATTGATTTCAGGGTCACCCCTTCAGTTTTGCATCAGTGACTGAACAAAGTGCACAGCCCCCTAAGCACAGAGGCCCTCCATCGATCCCCTGCCAGCCCCCCATTGGGCTACATTCAGGGGCCGACTGGGCTGCTTTCAGAGTCACTGGAACACTGCCAAATAGCAGTTCTGGTGTTGCAGCATGTTTCTAATTTGTCTGCAGCCCGTTCATATTTAATTACCTGGCAGATTCAGACTCGGATTCTCCTGTTGAGTTTAAACCTTTCCTCTGTGACAAAATCATTCTAAAGGAAAGGGAGCTTTCTTTGACATTGAGTGCTTTGCACATGTGGTTCTGTTGGATAAGTAGAACATTTTCCTGTATGGTCGCGTCATATTGTTGTTGCATATGATATCACATGTCTCCGTGGCTGAGTCTATATAACTAGAAGTTCAGAATTACTTAACGGTGTGTGTGTTCATGGAACAGCTTATCTCTACCTGAAGTGAGTGAGCTGTGATTGCTTCTGATTTGAATCCTTTATCCATTGGAACACCTCTACTAGTAGACTCAAGAATTGGAGGATTCAGGATTCTGTTAGTTGCATATTTAATCAGACACATTTAGCCTCTCTATGGGGGGCAGGATTTTAGGACAATCAAAGAGTGCTGATCAGGGTGTTGTTTTGTGGCTAATCTTTTGATTCTGTGAGGATGAGTTTGCGCTGGGGTGAAGAGGTGGGATGAATGGTATGGCACAGGCAGTTAAACAGCTATCAGGTTATGACACTGTGGGATGTTCCTATCTGTGTTCCTGTCTCGTCTCTATAAACGTGTGTGTGTGTTTTCTCTGTGACTAAGTTCATGTTTCAGTTTTTCTTTATATGCTTGTGGTTAAGTCTGCATCGGAACCATTTGTTGCCTGTGTGTGTTGCTCTCGGGCTGTGGCGCATCGTTGATCCTCAGATGTGACACTGATGAGCATCCACCACACTGAGCCCATATGTCTTTCTGTCTGCTGCCCTCACACTGATCACCCCAACTCTCTGAGCATCTGCCTGTATGTGTGTGTTAAACTGGGGCACAAGGTAACAGTCGGAGGAGTTGAGCCATCAGCAAAGGAGCGGAAAGGACAGGGTGAGAGAAAGAGATGGCGTGTTGGAGTGATTCGGTAGAAGCGTGGACAGAGTGATGATGTCAGTGTTGCTGTTGATTAGATCATTCAGAGACTATATCTCTGGTGTGATGATTAACAAAGCTTTGGGGGACGGGGTTTTAGCTTTCTTTAGCGGATTTGATAAATCTGTCTCCAGACATGATTAGCTGATTAGATAGTTCAGATTGAGACGCCACCACCTGTCAAAATCATAACTCTACTGTTCTTAATCCTACATACTACTACTCAGCAAAGTCTCTCAGAAAGTACTATACCTATACTTGGGCATAATGGTATAGTATGTCTATGGGTCTCTGTGATTAGGTTGTGTGTGTGTTTTTGGAATATGGTAGTCTGCTACAACATTTTCTCCATTTAACTTTGAGTAGTCGATTGTGGGCTGTTGTGGTGGTCCATTAACGTAGCATTGTTTATCCACAAACACGGTGGGAAATGTTCTAGTAGAATCCATTACAGCAGCCATTGGTAGACCATTATCTTCTCCCCCTCTCCTTCCCCTCCTCTCCCCTCCTCAACAGCCCATCCCCTCCCCAGGGCTTTGTCATCTGCCCCAGTGAGCAACTGAACATCCACACTGACATTCATTTACAATTCAGATCAGGCAGCTCGTCGCCCATCGCTCTCCTCCCCCACCCCACGACACTCCTCAGATTGCCATGATGGATATCTTTGACATCAACATGTCGCCACCCGCTGTGAGCTTTTTCTTTATTAGCCTGTCTATCACTATAGCAACCCAAGCCTGGCTTGTATCCTGTTTTACAGTGGCTGGTTTAGTCAGTGCTGGTTTCAGTCTGATCCACATTAGGCTCCGGCCTGGTCTTGCTTATTTTGGGCTGTGAATGTGGCTGTGATTCCCCTCCTTCCATCCCTCTATCCCCCTCCCATTCCCTTTGTGTGACAGTAGGCCTGTTTCCCCAAGCCCATTGTTCTAGGCACCAGGGCCAGACTTCCTGTGGACCTGACTGGCCTTCCCGCCTGTATGCGTGGCTGCTGGGGGGGTCACTTTTCCAGTGGATGCCATCTATCTCCCTAGGTGTGTGTGTGTTCAGTGTTTGTTCATTCAGTGAGCATGGTAGTACCACACTTTTCTTTGGCTTTGACCTCAATGTTTGGCTTTCAGAGATGAAACATGGGTCCCCTGTAGCTTAGTTGGTAGAGCATGGCGCTTGCAACGCCAGGGTTGTGGGTTTGTTTCCCACGGGGGGCCAGTATGAAAATGTATGCACTCACTAACTGTAAGTCGCTCTCGATAAGAGCGTCTGCTAAACGACTAAAATGTAAATGTACATTTCCAAAGTAGAGGAGAGTTGAAGTGTGTGTCGCTCCTATTAAAGGGATAGTTCGGGATTTTGGCAATGAAGCCTTTTATCTACTATCCCAGAGTCAGATGAACTCATGGATGTCATTTTTATGTCTCTGTGTCCAGTATGAAGGAAGTTAAGAGGTAGTTTCGCGAGCCAATGCTAACTAGCATTAGCGCAATGACTGTAGGTCTATGGGAACAGCTAGCATGCTACAAGTTCATCTGACTCTTGGGAAGTAGATAAAAGGCTTCATTGTCAAAATCCGAAGTATCCCTTTAATGGTGACACTGTAATAGACGTCTCACTCACTGACTGTATCAGAGTCTTGAAGTGGTAAATATATACCCTGGCTGGTGAATAGAGCGACAGAAATAGTTCCACTCTAACAGAGGCCCGCCACCAATGTGTTGTTCATTCCCTGCATTCTAGGACCAGGTTCATTGTGGTCCGGCGTGTGTGTGTATGGAGGTGAAAGGTGAGAAGGGGTGTGTGCTATTCTGGGAGGTGAGGTTGGCACACCAGCTGGAGAGGGAAAGCTATTAGGTCAGTGTTCCTTCCTTGTGAGCCTCCCCTCTCCTCGCCCCTTCCTCACCTCACACCCCTCACTCTAACCCACCACCCCACTGATGGGAAAAGTGTCCAGGAATGCATCCATAAATATGAAATGAAGTAGTCTTACTGACAAACACACTCAAGATGCAGCCTGTACCAGTAAACAACAGATGCCCAGGTTCAGCTTTCAGTAAACAATCCTGCAATAATGCTATGTTCTCTGTCAGGTGAGAATTTTCCGTTGTAGTCGATCCTGTCTCTTTGGAAGGGGTGAGGAAAGGGGAGTGTGTCACCATCGGGTCCAGTGGTCCCAGACCTCTTTCTCCCCTCTCTTTTATCCCTGTCCATTCATCC